GGCCCTCTGGTCCTGCACAGGAGGTCCAGGGGGCTGTGACCAGAACACAGGGACAGTCCCTGGCCTGGCGCTCCCACTGCCCACAAAACATGCCTCAGTCTTGCTGCTAGTAATTGAATAGAGAGAAGAATTAATTGTGAGTGGGCTGTGTCTCCCCTCCCGGCTCCTCGTTTGCCCTGGGGCTGCCTTGGTGCTGTGGGTAGTGAAGACAAGGTCATTCCCATGTAACACATCCCAATGGGGTTTCGCCAAGTTCCTTCCCTTTGGGGGTGGGGGCAGGTTAATGGTGAGCAGTGGGATTGCCCCGGGCTGCTCCGTGCTGCTCAGCCATGGAGGAGCTGCTGCTGCCTCTGAAACGCCCCATTAAAGCTGCAGTGAAGGATCAGCAGGCAGGGCTGGGGGCACTGGGCCACGGGGCTGGGAAGGCTGAGGGTGGAGTGGACTAGTATTCCTCTGGCTTTGCTGGGAAACCTCCATGTCTTTATTTTGGGGTGGAAAAAAGTTAGTTTATGGCCAAGCATCCTCCAGGCATGGCTGTAAAACATTACAGGATTCTGGGTTTTGTGCATTTTGGCTCTTCTTCATATGTGTTGGAGCGCAGAGAGATGCTCAGGTATTGGGCAGTGCTTCCTGCACTTCCGTGTCCCCACCTTTGTGAGCCCCAGCCTTTGGCTAACCCTCAACCCTACTGCCTGCACTGTCTGTCACCTTTCACAGTCCCCCAGGCAACTGCTCTGCCGGCTGTCTGAGCCCTCTGCACCTGCAGAGAGAGCTCTCCTCGCCCTCGGGCCGGCTCGCTGCTGCCGTGTGCTGCTGCAGGTACTGCTCTCCTCCATCGGTCGGGATTAGCGCTGTGGTCCTGTCTGTGTCCCTGCCTGGCAGGAGCAGGGAACTCTGCCTGTTGGTTTCTCTCTGTGAGGGACAGCAGCGTCCTGCTTGCTTCTCCACCTGATAGTTTCCCCTGAAACTATCCACTGGTAGTTCTCCCTGAAAGAGGTATTCAAGGCAAAACTCCTGTCGCTGTTTTGATGGCATCCCCTCACTCCAAATTCTCCTAGACTCCTCTTATGATGTGAGCTCCCAGTTTGCTACAGCCCTTGTCTCCATTCAGCCCAGTTTGGACTGCTTGCCCCTGAAGCTGTGGTTGATGTTGTTTTTCTTGTCTCTGCCTTTCTGAAAGAAGGGGTGCTGGTGGAGAGGTTTCAGGCTGATGCTCCTTGCTGGCTTTGATCTCTTGTGGGGAGCAGGAACTGACACCACTGTTTCTCATCCTGCACAAGGAAAGGGGTGCGTGTGCACCATTTCTGGCTAGAACTGGGCTAGGCAGGGATGATAAAGAAGCAGGCAGGAAGTTGGAGATGGAATCTGGCTCTGTCCTGCAGATGTGCCAAGGGAGATCCTGGGACAGAGAAGGGATGGTGCTGGGGTGGCTCTGGGTTGTGGGGGTGCCGTGCTGAGCATCACAAGGGGAATGGGAAGAGCTTTCTTCAGCACCTGCGGTGCTCTCTCCAGTCCCTGCTGTACAGTGGCACAGACCCCTCCCAGAGTCTCACAGTCCCTCACCTGCTGCTTCTTCCATCTCAAATCCTCTCCTGGTCTGCTTCCTGTCTTACCTCAGTCTGGGCTGCTCCAGGAGCTGCCTCCACTTCCCAGCTGCCAGCAGGTTCTGTGTGGGATGAAGGAGGTCAAAGTTTGAGACCAAGCCTGGACCCCAGCCAGGCTGGGACTGATGCCTCCATGCCCTGTTCCTCCCTCAGCTCCTGCTTCTTGGTGTTGTAGCCCTGTAGCTGCACCTTGGTACCCTCAGCTTTGTGGGAAAGGGGATGGGAGGCTGCAGCTCACATCTCTGCTGCTAATGCTTCATCTGCAGTGTTTAACATCCCTGATGAACGTGAACATGAGCTCTTCTCTGAAGGAAAACCCTTCTGTATCTGACCAGTCTTAACACGGTCCCAGCTCTGCAGACCAGGGCAATGGAGCAGTGGGGCAGCAGGACAAGCTCTGATGGGCCCATGCTGGTAAGCCTCTTCCAGGGGTCACAGCCCAGTGGCTGCTTGGTGTGCTGGGGGCACAGCAGGTCCCCAAGTCTTTCTGCCACAAGGGGCTTTCTTCCACCACCTCCACAGCAGTTTGGCCTGAGGCCCAGCTGGTCTCAGCAGCACAGGGCTGGAGTTTCTCTTCTCCCCAGGAGAGCCAGACAAGCCATTTAACCTCTGTGCCAGGGGATGGAGGGGACCCTCACCCTGTGGACCAGGGGGCTTATCTCAGATGGCCTGTGAAGGAGCTGACAGGCAGGCAGAATTTCCTTGTTCTGCCTGGCATGGGCAAGAGCCTATCCAAAAAGGTTTTTTACTTAAAAACGAAAGGGGGTGGGGGTGTCACTCTTGATGCAAACACAGGTGGGCTGGGAAGCACCAAGGGAAGAAGGCAGATGCCTCTGTGCAGGCCCCCATCTTCCCTCCAAGGAGCAGATTGTGGCCATGGTCCAAGGCAGCAGCAGCAGGGGTGGGGTGAGCCCAGCAGCCGTGGTGCTGCCTGTCCCTGGCTGCTGTCACCGACCTGCTCATTCCTTTTCCCTTCCCAAAGGTGGGGCGGGGTGGGGGCTGTGGAGGCTTTGGCTGCAGGCCTGAGGATGGCTGACAGGAGCGTCGTCTGTCATCCCCTGTCAGGCAAAGTGTGGCCACCCCTGCGTGATCCCACACGGGCTTGATTTTACAGCCATGACTGGCACTTGAGCCTGTTTGCTGAGGGCAGGGGGCACACGGGACTGTCAGCTTGCAGCTGCCTCTGACCCCGTACAGGACACCATAAATCTCCCAATTTAAGGCAGGCTGGGCTGTTCTGGAAATGGTGCTATTGAGTAGACTGTGGTGTGCACGGTAACATGTGCCTGCCTGGTCCCGTGCCCACCAGGGATAAAGTAGAGGTGGCCACTGGTGAAGGAGAGCAGCATCTGGGAAATAGACTGAATTCCTTGATTTTTTAATATATAAAAAAGTACGGATTGACTGAATTTAGAGCATCAGGAGTGTCTAGTGTTTCCTGCTCTGGTTTTGCCTGGTTTTCCTCGGGCAGTGCAGAGAGGTGAATAGGAGCAACCACCTCACCTGTGCTGTGATACATCAGCTGTTCACACAGGTCAGCCTGGGAGGTTTTTCTCCTGACCATGTGCTGTACTGATGAGCTGAATGTGTGAATGTGTTGTGCCCTTGGAAACCAGCTCCTGCTTCTGCCAAGCACCGTCAGTGCCTGTCCTGCCTGCTCCTGTGGTCCTCCTGAATGCTTCCAGTTAAATGCTTAGGCTTGCCCTAAGATTTCTTCCTACACATTGGAAGCCCTCTTAGAAGCATTTTTTTACACCAAAAAAAAAAAAAAAGGGAAGGAAAATGAACAATGAACTGAATTTTGGGGTAATTTTGGCCAGGACAAGGCAGTTGCTCATCCTGTGGTGTACTGGGTTTGTTAATACTGATGCAGGGACTGTTTTCTCCTTGGGCCCTGTGGGGTCAGCCCAGTGAGGGGCAGTGCCCAGGCTCCCCTGCCTGCCTGCAGCACTCCTCGGCAGTGAGGATGCTGAGCAAGATCAGGTGAGGACCCCGGGAGATCCATCCCCAGAAGTGACAGTGGGCAGAGTTTTGGGGTGACACATTGTGTGGTGGGGAGAGGTGCTGGTGCACTTGTGTTTAGGGCTGTTGGGTGCCTGAGCAAGGGGGCAAGTGTGCAGGCTGGGTGTCAGAGTGCATGTGAGAGAGAGAGCTGCCCTGTGGCCGCAGCTGGTGCGATCGTGTGCGAGGCAGAGGGCTGTATTTGCGGGTGGGTGAGCAAAGCAAAGCGTGGATAGCTGTGCTGGGGGTGCAGAGTGTGTGAAAGGTGCCAGTGAGAAGGGGGGACCTCCCGGGAAAGGCTGCACGCGTGTGCCAGCTGTGTGTGCGTGTGACAGGGACTGTGTGCAGGCTGTGCGTGTGCGGGAGGGCTGCACAGGCGTGTGCGGGGCTGTGTGAGGGTGGGTGTGCTTGTGCGGCGGGGCAGCCGCCGCGCTGTCACTCAGGGGCGGCTGACAGGAGCTGCCTCTCCAGCGGCGGCAGATAGCGCTGATTGCTGATTCGAGGAAGCAAAATAGCAATTGTAATTATGGGCTCTGATAAGATAAAGGAGGGCGCGGGGAGCGCGGGGACCGGCAGCGGGGCACGGCCGGCAAATTAGCAGCTGTCACTCAGCGCCGAGCAGGCGGCGCCGGCCCCGGCCCCGGCCAGGTACCGGCCCCGGGGGCCGCCCGCCGCAGCCCCGCCGCAGCCCCCGCCCCGGTGCGCAACAGGTGGCGGGGCCGGGAGGGCCGGGGCTCGCCGGAACAATGCAGCCCTCGGCGGCCCTGCCCGGGCTGCGGGGCTGAGCCCCGTCCCGCCGCCGCCCGGCCCCATGGCCCCGCAGCGCCGGCCCTGAGGGCGCCCGCCCGCTCCGCAAGGTAAGCGCCCGGCGGGGATGCTCGCGAAGAAATCGGGGGTGTCCCGCTTCCCCACCCCGGTTGCGGAATTTGCTCTGCCTCACTCCTTCTCGAAACTCCGGCCCCCTCCATCCCCCTCCTCCGGTAATCCTTTTAATGTCTGGCACGTCCCGGGAGGGCTCGCCCGCCCGCTCCCAATCCACAACGCGCCCGCGGAGCGGCGAACCCCCAGCGGGGGGAACCGCGTCCCCGACCCACCCTCCGAGCCCTTAAACCCCGTTTTACGGATGGGGAAACTGAGGCACGGGCTGGGCAGGGAGTCCCGCCGAGCGCTGGCCGCGGAGCCCGGTCCTTAGCGGCAGCCCCGAGCCCCGGCGACACCTGGCCCGCCGCTCGCTCCGCTTCGGCAGGTACCGCCGGGACCGGGAGGGGAGCCGGGGTCCGGCCGGGCTTCCCCCGCCCCCGCCGTCGGGCTGAGGGTCGGCTGCGCCTCCCGCGGAGGCAGCGGGGCCGCCGGCCGAGCGCCCCGGGGGCTGGCCGGGCGGTGGGGCCGCCGGGCCTTTCCCCTCTGTAGCCGCTTGTGCCCTCCTTTCTTTGGGGCGAGGACGTGCCGGCAGGGCGAGAGGAAGCGAGGAGCTGAGACAGCGCCGCGCCCCCCGGGCGCTCCCCGCCGCCGCCGGGCCCCGCGCCCCCGGCCCCGCATCGGCGCCGCGATGGACCCCTGCTCTTCGCTCTTCAGCTACGTGTGAGTACCGGCAGCCGCAGCCCTCCCGCCCCGCGCCCGCAGCCCCCCGGCTCACGCCTCTCTCCCGCTTCTCCCCTGCCAGGTTAATGCACTTGTTCGTCCTCTGCCTGCAAGCCCAGGTAAGTGCCCGCCGGGCTGCCCGGCTTTGTTCGCCCCGCGGGGATGGGAGTGCCCCGCCGCCGCCGAGCGGCTCGGCAGCGAGGGAGACAGGGGAGGGGAGCAGCTTAAAACCCAGGAGACAAAAGTTGCCAGGTTGTAAAAAGCCGGAGCCGAGGGGGACCCCACCTTTCCCGAGACGTAAAATAAGGCGCGGGGGACTCCGGCTGCGAGGCAGAGAGCACCGGGATTTCAAGGAAATACTCAGGGTTATCTTAAAGCAGCTTTAATTCTTGTCCCCCCGACCTCTAATTACACTGTGGATACCCCCGTCCCTCTGCTCCGTTCCCCCCCCCCCCCCAGTGCCCCCCCAGTGCTCTCATCCAAAAAAAGTAAAGCAGAATTTAAAAAGGGAAAAGAAACAATGCAAAAGCCTCAGTAAAAAGCGCAGGTTTTGATTCAGCTTAAAAGTGTCAGACTTTAGCATCGCTGGTTTGTATCGGCAGAGACAGAAGTGACATGAATAGATTAAACATCCCGGGCAGAGCTTGTGCAACACCCGCATACCAGCAGGCACGCGTCGCTGGGAGCAGCGCGCCTCCAAACCGGGGTGAAGCCCCCTCTTCCCCCTGAGATTACAGGTGCAGAAGCTTTGTTTAAAATGCCCTTTAAGCTACTTTATAAAATTATTGTTATTTTCCTGGAAGCTTGGGGGGGAAAAAAATGGAGTTTCCAGCTGAAAAGTGAAGGGAACAGAGCCCTGGGATTGTGCAGTTGTATAAAAACATAGCTGTAATATTTTGGAGTATGAGATGGAGACCAAATAGCAGCATGGCTAATGACCTCTCCTCCACATGGTACCCTCATCAGAGCTGGGGAGAGAATCCTGCTGCATTATCCAAAACCCTTCTATAGGAAACACACATGCACAGGCAGAAGCAGGGGGAGAGAGATGACATTGTCAAGGGGAGATATCTCTATAAAGCTGGCTTTGGGAGAGCAGCGGCTTTTGCTTTTATTGTGGTTTTCTGTTGTTGTTTAAGACAGGAGGAAATCTTCCCATTTGACGTGGGGGTGGTGGGGGGTAGCCCCAGCCTTCTGATGTTGAAAGGAGCGATCTCCTAACATTTGCTCAGAATACATCTTTATAAATGTCAGGGAGCAGCGAAACTTTCCAGACTTAAAAGAGGGATTTGAGACGAGGGGGGAAAAAGACTTCTGTGCCAGCTCGCGAGCCGGGGCTGAGGGGGGAGCAGGTTTGGCCGCTCGTGAAAATCATTTAAAGCCCAGGAGCAGCAGTGTTGGGGCTGGAGAGGACGGGCTCAGCTGTGGCTTGGTGTGCTGGGGCTAGGGATGAGCCCGTGCTGGCAGCAAACAGCTGACTGGGGATGAGAGCTGTGTTTGCACGGGTGGCATGTTGGTATCCTTGGGTGCTCATACCACTAAATACCTGCCCTGGGGTATGGTTTTCTTGTAATTCTTATGCCTCATAGTCCTACCATCTCTGTGAACTTTGTGTTTGAAGAACTTAATAAGTGGGGTACTTGGGAGCAAATAAAGAGCCTGAGACCCAGAGGACAGGCAGCTGTTGAAACTGTTGGGGTGTGTGCCCAGGGCAGCTGGAGCAGTTGTATGCTCCTGCAGAGGTGAGAGAGGTGTAGGATGAAAGCATCAGCCCCTGAGAGGGCAATGTAGTGCCATCCTGTGTGTCCCACCTTGATCCCCCCCAGCTCCCAGCCTTGATTCCCATCTCAAGGTACCCCAGTCCCAATCAGGAGCCACTGAGTCCTGGAGGGGCCTCTGGGGTCCCCAAGCCCTGTTCTACTCCTGAGCTACCAGCACCTCTGCTTAGGGCATGTCTGGAGAGAGCACAGCTCTGTACAGGGCTCTGTGTCCCCGAGCTTGATGCTCCTTTTCCTGGAGAGGCTGTGATGGCACAGGAGGCACCGCCGCGGTCCTGGCTCCTGCCTCCCGTAAAGCCCAGCCGCAGGCCGGGGATCTCAGCTCAGCCCGCTTGCCCCGCTGAGGAGTAGAGATTATAATGGTGTGTTGTATATTTTTTAATTTCCTAAAGGTAACTGTTCAGTCCCCACCTAATTTTACACAGCATGTGAGGGAGCAGAGCCTGGTGACAGATCAGCTCAGCCGGCGGCTTGTCCGTACCTACCAGCTGTACAGCCGGACCAGCGGGAAACATGTGCAGATCTTGGACAACAAGAAAATCAATGCCATGGCAGAGGATGGGGATGTGCACGGTAAGGACACGCGGTGGGGGGAGCTGGGGAGGTGCTCGCAGCCCGGCGTGGCGATTGATGATTTCCGTCCTGTTTGTTAGCCAGAAATCGTTAAAATCGTTCAGCTTGTGGGGGCTTGTAAAAGGAGAACATAGGGGTCAGTAATCAGCAGCTGTGTGATTCAAGGTGAGGGCAGGTTCCCTGTGCCAAGGGAGGGGACCAATTCTTGAAGGATAGGTTCTGCTTCTTTCCTTTTAATTCTTGCACCTGACTCAGAGGGCTTGGGGCTGTGGCATCCTGAGCATCGTCAGACATTTTATCCTGGCTCTTTAAGGGATGGGAATCCCTGAGACTTTCTTTTGAAACAGAAATGGAAAGTAAATTTGAAAAAGAAGAGGTAGGGAGGAGACAGGGAATGACTGCTTTGGAAGCCTTCCCTGATCTAGGACTGTCTGAAGTGGCATTTTCCTGTCCCATCCCTTCCTTCTCAAAACAAATCACGGGGAAAGGGCCAGCGAGGCAGTCAGCTGCAGGCAAAGATGCTGCGGTGTCTCCAGAGACAAAGCAGGGACTCTGCAAACGTGAGAGCCTGCGCTCTGCCACGGCCCCTCTGCATCACCCTGGCACCCCCTCCCCAAAACCTCCACCAAGGGGACCGGTCCCTCCGCTGGGGACTCTCGAAGCCCAAACACTTTGATCGTGTTGGGATGGTCAGAGGCAGTGCAGGGGTCAGAGGGGCCAGCGAGCCCCGGGGCCGGCTGCGGGAGGCCTGATCCCGCACCCGGGCAGGGAAGTGCCTGTGCTCCTGGGTGTTGCACACAGGTATCACAACTGGTTTTCTTTGGTATTAGCTGCGTTTTCCCTTTCTTCCTTGGGTAGATTAGTGGAAACAATTTTTTTTCTTTGCCTTTCTGGTTTTTGGGGGCTGTTTCTTCATTTTGCTTTGGCTGAAAATTTTACGCTGGACATTATCAGTACAAGCACAGTGCAGGTTCTATGTGATGTTCCATATATCCAGAATTAATCTTGCAAATGAATTATTCCCTTCCTGGAGCAGCTCTAACTTGAAAGGGCAGTAGCTAATTTCTGAAGCAAAAAAAAAAAAAGAAAATCCCATCTTGTTTTAGACCTCTAACGCCTGGATTTTAAAAAACAGTTAGTGCATATTTAAATAACAACCAGGTTTAAATACGGCCAGAAGGAGGGGACTGGTGGTGGCTTGAAAAACTCTATTAAAATGTAATAAAAAAAGGTTAAGCATTTGAAGAGCTAAGGAGGAAAATGAAGACTGATCTAAACCAGAAAGAGAACAAGCAGTTTTTCAGATGTAAAGTTTTAAAAGAGTTGCAAGTCTGTAAATGTTAAAATAGAGGTTCAGGATTGTTCTGTATGAATCTCTAGGGAGGCCCCCATGTCTGGAAGAACTATTAAAGCGCTTCTTACTTTCACCTTTTTTAACATTTCCTGAATACTTTCTCCTCTTCGCAGTCCAGTTGGGGGATCAAGTGTGTCTCGCTGCATTTTTTCAGCATTTACGTAGCCACTTTCCCTTCAAAGTTTGACCATGAAACATAATTTTACTGGGATAAATCTGTCACTTAAATGAAAGAATAGAGTTGAAAACGTTAAGCCTCCCCCCTTCCCCAAAAGAGGAAGGGGAATAAAAAAAAGGAATCCCCCCAAATGTTATTTAGAAATCCACTTTTGTAGCAAAGATCCCCCCCCTCCCCAAGCCCTTCTTTCTGCTTTTTTCTTTTTTTTTTTTTTTTAGTCTCATTTTTGGGGGTGGGCGTGTAAAAGGGGTTGATTTATTTTTGCAGATGACCCCTTTCCCCACGCTGACACTTTTACAGCCGACTTAACATCGAGTCCGGTGTTTTCAGTTATTTGTCTTAATTGTCAATATTTGATTGACTTTTTTTAATTCTAAGGGAAGGCGGGCGGCTGGTGCAGCCCAGCCTGTCCCTCCCAGGCTGTGCTTTTCACCAAGAGAACCACTGCCAGCTGCAGCTTGGACTCCACCCCACGAGTGGCTGGAGACTCCAGCACAGCTCTCTGCCCACTTGCTGGCTTTTGTCTGTGCCCAGGGTTTTCTGTGGATTGGGGCTGGAGTTTGCAGAGTTCACATGTTGCCTGCAAGGGTCCAGGGGTGCAAGTCCCTGGGGCCAGGTTGTCTTCATCCTCTGTGGATAAGGGTCTGGAGCGACACATGGGCTGGGCTCGTGCAGGCCAGCAAACCTGTCTGGTGGCTGTAAATCACAGCTGCCCTTTGGGGATAAAAAAGAAAAAAAGAGAAAAGTCCAAAAGAGAAGCAATGTGCATCTTTAAAGCAGGGTTTTGTGCTCATTGGGGCCAAGGCCTCCCCACTCCCTCCCTCTTTCCCTCTTCATGCCTCCCTTCCTCCCTCCCTCCCAGCTCTTTCTATCTCTCAGAGAGAAAAATCAATTCTCCTCAAACCTTTTACTGCCTCCAAGATCAATTCCACCCCTTTCCCCAATATAGATAAATAGGGGGTCACTGTCTCAGTGCTTTGTTTGCAGAGTGCTGTCCCTCCCGTGGATGGTTTTGGGGATGCTGGATGCTTGTCAGGCTCTGGGCATTGATCTGCGCAGCCTGGAGTTCTCTCTTCCCAAATTTCTTGTCTATTGAGTTCAATCTGTGCCTGCCTAGGAGTAGGAGAATGTGAGTGCATGGTAGCCTAGGGGCAGGAGATGCTGCAGGGTGATATTGACAGGAGGGGGTGCCTGCATGCACATCAAGCTTGGCCTGTCTAACAGCACCAAATCAGTTGGCCCCAGCAAATTTGGGGATGACCTTTCCATTGGTCAGCTCAGCAGCTGCCAGTTGCTGTCCCCACCCTTGGTGCCATTGACCTCAGTAGCATCTGTCATAAGAGGGATACAGGGTTGAGGCACTGCAGAGACAGAAAGGCCATTTGCCCCTAGCCCAGGGTGTGATTTAGGCTCAGTTTAACTTGTGTGCACACCTACAGCCTCCTTGTGCTGTTTGAAGCATCCTCCTGCAGAGCCTCCCACTCCAGAGCCCCATCACTGCCATCACTGGGGCTCACTAGAGGCTGAGCATCCTGGCATAGAGATGTGCAAGCTGCAGTGAACCGCAGTCCTGAGAAACTGAGCAGCCCCTGTGCAGGAATCAGAGAGGATAAATAAGGCATCAACAGGCTTGACCCCATAATAAGAGTGTAGGCTTGGAACCTTTGTGGCCTGTCCTCTAATTGCCTCCTGGATAGCACTTACAGTACTATGGGCTGATGCTGAGCCAGAGGTGATGGGACAGTCACAGCTGGCTTTTCAGCATCGTGGGGAATTCTTTGGTGCTTGGCATGGCACAGACCTTTTGAGGTGCAAACAGGTAGCCACCATTCCCAGCGGGGCTTGCTCTGGGGACAGCAGCTGCAGGAGCGGGAAGAAGGATGTCCTGTCCCTGTCCTCCCCCCTCCCTGGGAATGGATGGGCTTTGGGGCTTGGGTTCCCAGGGTGAAGGCAGGGAGGGAAGGTGACAGGTCTATTTATAGGCGGCCCATCGACCCAGCAATTTGCATAGCTCCTTCGGAAGTCGATCGATGCCTCCATTAAAAAACTGAGACCAAATCAATACGCCCTCTCGACTCGTGCAAAGGTGAAAGGCATTAAAAGGGTGGCTGTACCCTTCACGCCTCCCCTGCCAGCTGCAAAGTCACTGCTCCTCCTGCAGCCCCGGCCTGGCAGAGGGACACGGAGCGGTGTCCCCTGGGCTGGGGACAGCTGGCAGCACACTGTGCACTTGCAGAAGGTGCCTGTCTGGTTCTTGGCCACAGGCACTCCCAGACTTGCCTCAGTTTGCAGGGCAGCTGCCTTGTTCTGAGTGTGCCCTGCTCACTGCCCTGCATCCATCTGGGACATCTCTGTGACACCCGAGCCACTGAGCTCTGTGGAGCTGGGTAAAACAGGGCTACTCCCCATCCAGCACAGCTTAAGGTGGCAAAGGGACATGTCCAAGGTCATGCAGGGGCATAGGGGCAAGGTAAGGGGGAGAGGGGACAGGCTGTATCTTAACCACGTGTGCTGATTTTCGGGCTCTCTGGCCCAGCTGCCTGCAGTGCCCAGCATTGGGGTGCATTGCTGGGGTCTCCATACCTGTGCCAGCCCTACCCCTCTGACCTCCCTCCCTCTCTCCCCTGCTGCTCTCCTCAGCCAAGCTCATCGTGGAGACAGACACCTTTGGGAGCCGCGTGCGTATCAAGGGGGCAGCCACAGGTTTCTACATCTGCATGAACAAGAAGGGGAAGCTGATTGGCAAGGTAGGGTGCAAGGGTATGGGCAGGGCAGGGAGCTGCTGGGGACACGAGTGGGGACTGCCAGGAGAGGAGCTCTGCCTTTTGGGGGCAGGGGGACAGGCCATCCTGCAGCCTGAGGGGGAGCAGGGGAGGTGGGCGGGTGCGTGTGGGGCACATTCCTTCTATCTCTCCGGACAAATAGGCGGATTGCTGGTCTATTCTCCACGATTACATGGTACAAGTGCCAGGAATGTTAAGATGCTCCATGGGGCTGGCCCCAAGGCCAGACCCCACCACCTGCTGGTTTGTCATGCAGCTTCTGTGCCTTGATGCCCCTTCCCGTGGTGGGGGGGCTGGACATGCAAAATCCCTCCGGAACAGTGATTATCTGCAAGGATTTTCCACGGCAGCTGCTTCCTGGGGGCTGCCTGATGTGGGTCCCTCTCTAGTCCTGCTACTGTCCATTATGGGGGGAACTCAGTTCCTGGCTACCCCATGCTCCCTCACCCACCTGCATCCATGGGCACTGTCACCACTGATCTTGTGTCGCTTCTCCTGCCATTCAATGCCCCTCCTATATTAAAGACCCCAGGGGGACAGGACGAGCAGGTGATTTGGGATGGAGAGTTTGCTTATGGTTACATCCGGGCACAGATGGAGGCAAAAGTTGCCTTATGGATGTGGGGGAAGTTAAGGTTGCGACGTTCCCCTATGGGTGTGGGGGAAATTAAGGCTGGGACCAGCTGGGCTGGCACGGAAGCAGCAGTGAGCAGTGCTTGTGTCACAATGCCTTCTCACTGCAGCTTGTTAGGGAAAAGCACATTTTGGGCAATTCTGACTTGTGGGAGAAGCGAGCCTTTGGCTGCCCACAAGCCCTGCAACCCTGCAGCCAGCGCAGGGCGGGGCAGGGAGAGGCAGCCCTCTGAGAAAGTGCCCGCTGCTTAAACCTCTGCTCCTGTCCCCTTCTCAGAGCAACGGCAAAGGCAAGGACTGTGTGTTCACGGAGATCGTGCTGGAGAACAACTACACGGCGCTGCAGAACGCCAAGTACGAGGGCTGGTACATGGCCTTCACCCGCAAGGGCCGCCCGCGCAAGGGCTCCAAGACCCGGCAGCACCAGCGCGAGGTGCACTTCATGAAGAGGCTTCCCAAGGGCCACCAGACCACCGAGCCCCACAGACGCTTTGAGTTCCTCAACTACCCCTTCAACCGGAGGAGTAAAAGGACTAGAAACTCCCGAGCGGGCCCTTGATGTGCCCGGCCCTGCCTCCTCTGCCTGCATCTCTCCTGGAGGATGCGCCTCTGAGCTTGGTGGACTATATGTAGAGACTTTCCCATATGGGTATCAAAAAAAAAACCAAAAAAAAAAAAAAAGGGGAGGGGGGAGGATAAAAAAAAATTACCTGCTCTAGTTGTTGGTACTTTTGGGGGGGGGGGGGGTTTGGTTTTTACAAAAAAAAAGGAAAAAAAAAAGAGGAAAAAAATGAGAGAGGCTCTATTTTTGTACTCCAGCTTTAAAAGTAATGAAACATTCAAAGACTGGTGAAGGGAGAAGAGCCCTTCACTTAGAAATGTTCTAGTCTGTTTGGGGTTGCGCTTTATTTTGTAATATTTTTTTTTTGTAGCTCTAGGGGGAAAGGAGTTAAAAAATCATGTTTAAAACAAACGAGCAAAAAACCATAGAAATCCAAATGTGGAAGCGATGTGCTACTTAAATGAACTGAACTAATGCTGTGCTTGCTGGAGAAGATGGAGAAGCTGGAACCAGCTAAGAGGAGGGGATTTATTTTGGAGGTGGTTGGAGGCCTCCGAGGTGGTTTTTGCAGCCTGGGTGATGTGGGGACACTGCCAGTGGGCGCTGACTGTGACACCCGGGGTGAGGACCACTGGATGCTTTCTTTCCTTGGATGTGCCTGCTTCTTTGGCTGAGGAAGGGGTTGCTGTAAGTCGCATCTTTCTGAGAATGCTGCTGGCTTCACAACTCTCAACTTACTTTTTTTCTCAGGAGGGGACAGGGGTGATGGATTCCCCAGAGAAAGTCCTGAACTGACTTGGTACCTCTTACCCACGGGAGCATCTTTGGCATTTGGTTTGTTTTAAAGTACTAAGGTACAGCTGCTGTGGAGCGGGCTGATAACTGGTATTATTTTTTCCCCATGTGGAAAATGTGAACTTCTCACCAAAAATTGATATTTTTTTTCTGTCTATATTTTTTTATGAGATGCAAGGTTTCATCCATAAAATTAAACAAAGTTTACAAATTATTGTGGAGCCATTTCAGGCTGTTTTGTTGTGATATTCAGTATCTTGTCATAATAGTTGGTGCTTCCATTGCCAACCATCTCCTACAGCTTCTTCTTTGATCAGAAGTACTGCCACCCTTGCCCCCCTAGGAAAGAAGGGGGTTTCTTTCAAAATTTCTGTGTTGACAGAAGCCCAATTTTATATTTAGAAGGAAAAAAAAAAAAACAAAGGAAACATTTAATCTCTTGAGTGAGCATCCTCAGCCAGCCCTGCTCTGCACATGCTGCCCTGGGACTGTGACTCTCTCCAAAGGGTTAAACCAATCATTCTTCACGGGGAGGGCAAACAAAGACACTGGATAGGAGCCAGAACCAGGGGTGACTTTTCATGCAATCTTTTTTGATTGTTTGAGGTTTTTCCTGTTTCCTTGAGGATTTTTTGTTTTGTTTCAGTTGTGTACAAATTGAATATGAAATGATTGAAATATTTATTTAATATGTGCATTAAAAGTTTGTATTAGTCTAACTGAGCCTGATGCTTTCCAGGGAGGGGCTGGGGCTGGACAGAAATATTGGAGAGGGATGAAGGAGGATGGCAGTGAGGTGCAGGATGGGGCTGAGGCTGCTGCTTGCTGCAATTTCCTTCCCCTGGGAACAGCTGTGGAAAGTGGGAGACTGCCCCAAGCTTCTGGACCCGGATGAGTCTTGTGGAAATCATGGTTTTCCTTGCAGCAAATTCCAGACTTAATGTGCAGATGCCAACTTCTTGAGATGTGGGAGCAAGGCCCACTGCAGGTTGAATGGGGACATAGTGCAATGGAGCCTTGACCACTGCGTTCATGGATGGGATGAAACTTCCCAAGAGAAAGCTGCTATTTGCTCCTCTCTTTCCCAAAAGAGCTTGGGGGCTGTGCAAACTGGGCTGTTGCATCCCCTCCTTCAGAGAACACTCATCCCTGCTGCAGTGCTGGCTCTTGCTTGCAGGAGCTGACCAGGGATTCAGATATGGAGTGGTTCTAAGGTATGGAAGCGTGCAGGAATAAAACTGTGGAATGTGTTAAACTGCCCAAGTGCAGCAGCCCTGCAAGGTGCATCTCACCATCACTGGTGCCAGCCCTGTGTGTGTTGCAATGCCCATGGGGTGCCTGTGACATCTCCTAGTGCTCACTGGGTCTTCCCCTGGCTGCCCCAGCAGCCTGGGCTGAGCCGGCAGTGTTTGTCAATAACCTCAAGGAGGGAAAAGAAGGGGCTGAGCACTTGGCCTTGCTGCTGCACCAGGGAGATCAGGGATGTTGCTTGAGCCACAGGACAGCATGGATGGCTTTTGTCTGGCTGTTCCAGGAGGGACCCAAGGGCTGCAGAAGCCTGAGGATTACAGTGGGGGCAGACTTTGTTGTGGTTTACAGACGACAGGAATTAAAAGTGAATTGCTCCTGGTCTTTCCCCAGGCAGAGATGGTGTTTGATAGTCCTTAATGGTTGCTTTTCTTCCTTTAATTTGTCTAACTGCTTTTCCTAATGGCTTTGTGAACATGAGTGAATTGGTGCCAGGTGCCTGCTCCAGGTACGGGTGGCAGAGGCAGGGTCTGGCTCTATGTCTCCTGTCTGGTTACAAATGCCCCGGCGGTGGTAGGGAAGGGCATGGTGTGGGTGCTCAGCCTCCAGTAAGGCTGTTCCCCCCTCCCTGCCATCCTGGGATGCAGCCAAGAGCTGGAGCAGGGAGCAGCCAGCAGCCTGGGGTTTGAGGTGGCTATGGACACTCCTGTGTCCCCGCACAGCTCTGTGCCACAGCAGCCCCCAGGTCCTGCTGTCTGCCCTGCCACAGTGCAAGGCACCCAGGCCTGGCCCTGGGAAGGGATCCCCAGCTCACTTGGTCCGTGGTCACTCAGCCACTTTTCATTGCAGGGCTTTTGGGTGCCCATGGAGCACTACAGCTCCAGACTTTGTATATTTGAATTTGTCTGACTTTAGCTCCTAGTCAACAAAGGTTGTTTCACCATTGCTTGGAAGATGAAAGACCCCCTTTCTAGTAAGTTAATGAGTAAGTGAATTAATTAATGGTTCCTCATATCCTGTCTCTGCAGTGATACCTCTTCATCCTTGGAAAGTCTGGAGGAGCTCTGCTCTTCCCGGGCCCTGCAGGCTGCCGTGCACAGGGTCTCCAGGGCTGGTGGCTTCCACCGCCCATGCAGGGAGCTGGGGACAGCCCTGGTGATATCTGCTGTCCCTCCACAGTTACAGGAACTCTGGCTGCTATTTGAATGAATAGGGTCAATCAGCAGCTGGGACTTTTTCTTTCCTCAGCAGGTGTGTGAAGCAAGCCTGAGAATCACAGCCACCCAAGGGCCCTGGGGACTGCGGGGTGCTGAGATGGGGCTGGTGCTGAGAGGGCTGGGGAGGGGGGCTTTGGGGATGGGTGTTTGCTTTTGTTAGCTCATGCTGTTAGCGTGGGTGTCTCGGGCAGAAACCCCTGCTTTGAGTCCTTGTGGGGGGCATGTGCCTGTTGCTCTTGCCACCATTCCCAGTGTCACCCTGCAGCCCCCTCACTGCCACCAGCTGCTCGAGGGAGCTGGCAGATGAAGCAGGAGAGGAGCCTTGCTGCCCTGGCTGTTGGAGCAGGGATGATGGCCCCATCCTGAGCTCTGAGCAGGGGTGTCCCTGCCTGGACAGGGCTTCACCACGCGGTGCCATCCGGGCACAGTGGCAAGGCTGGAGCTGATGACAAGGAGCTGAGCAGCTTGGGAGACCCTGCCTTGTCAGATCATGGGGAAGCCCATCTGGTCCAGCCAGCTAACACAGGGTAAGAAGTAAACGAGGGGTGAACATGCCAGGGCAGCACCAGGCAGGAGAAAGAGATGTTTTCAGGTTAAATGCTGCTGTGGTTGCCCAGAGAAGCTGTGGGTGCTCCATCCCAGGTTGGATGGGGCTTTGAGCAATCTGACCTAGTGGAAGGTACCCCTGTCCATGGCGGGGAATTTGGAATTAGAAGACCTTTAAAGTCCCTTCCAATCCAAACCATTCTGTGATTCTATGGCAGCAGTACAGGAGCAGGCAGCAATAAATTGAAGTGGCAAGAAAAGGGGCATGTGCTGTCTGAGCAGGGGCTGCACCCCTGCTTTTTCAGCCAAACCCCGAATCTTTTGGCACATGCTGTCTCTGCTCCCACCCCTTCTCTCAGTTTACAACGTTTCCATGAGGTCTGCGTGGATATGGGTGCCCACTGAGCTGGGTGGGCTGTAGGATGCCGTGGCGGGACTGGGGCTCACCCAGGCTCCCTTAGGCAGGCTCTAGCTTGGGAAGGACGACTGGGCTGTTTGTTTATTGCATCAGGCTCAGCTTTCAAACATTTCCCTGCCATCCCCCTCCCCCTCCTTTAATTAATTCTGGGTAAGAAGTTCTGGCTTTATTGTGCCACCGAACTGAGGGCTCCCTGTGGGAAAAGTCACACCTTCTGAACAGCTTCTGATACCATGCAAATGAAGGACAAGTCCAGGAAACGCTTTCATCTCAGACCTGTCCAGCCCCCTGCCCATTAATTACACACATTTCATTTGTGTGAGAGCAATTCCTCTCGGGGAGGGGACGGGGGGTGGCTGCAGCTTGTGGATCATCTCAGCCCCCCTCTCTGAAGACTCCTCCTTGGAAAGGATTTATAGCCAGAAATGGGGATGCTCAGGGACTCAGTGGGGGATCTCATATTTTGGCCACTCCACACCAAACTGGCTTGCTGGTGGGCTGTATCCTGCCAGCAGGGAGGGCTCAGCCCTGCTCTGTGCCCTGCTCCACACCAGCAAGCCCTGGCTGTGGAACCAAGTGGGGCATCCTAGAAACACAAGGTGGAGCAGAAATGAGCTCGGTGCTGTCACAGGGGAATCTCCCTCCAGGGCCAGGAGCTCTGAGATAGATTACTTTGGGCAGGGTGGCCACAAAATGAGTCTCACATGTGGAAACATCCTTCTGTGCTGCTACAGCACTCAACATGTGTTGAGGGACAGCACCATACTCTGACAGGGCACAAAATCTTCTTGGCCGCAGGTGAACCAGACCCAATGCTCCTTTTGAGCCTTGGTCCTCTCTGCTCCTCTCCTCTCCTTTTCACACAGGTTGTCTGACCACAGCGTGCAGC